TTGACTTGGCTATTTTATGTGTGAAATACCTGTTAGGCTTCTAAAATAAAACCTGAATAAGAAGCTGTCAGATGTAAATTGTCAAATATCAGTATTATTTACTTAGTCTTTGAAGCCATCGGATATTCAGAGCAAATGGGCATTGTCATATTTAGAAAAGGGACATTTCTTTTCCTTCTTCCAATAAGATGTATTTTTGTATTTTTTATTTTTTTAAATTTTTCTCTTCTTCCTGAGACAGGTCATGTATATATGCCTATTCCAAAGGTTTACTACATTTTTCCCTATAAACATGATAACTGGCAATAATTCATATTGAACACAGTAGGCACAAACCTTATATTTGCTGCTACCATCTGGAAGTAACCTTTTATTTATTGTATTTCCCTTATTGTGAGATCAAATCACTTTTATATTCTCATAGAACTCTGTTTTCCTTTGCAGCAATTGCCACAATTTAGTGGCTAATTAGAAGATTCAAGTTTGTTTTTTATACATATAAACTAATGTTATATACCTTTATATAGCTTGCTCCTTCTCTGTGGCTCTGTTTTCTGTTTTACACTAGCATATTGTTTAGTAATTTTTTCAGTGAGAATCTATAGGTTATAAACTTAGTGTTTATTTATCTGAAAATATAGTGTTTGTATATCTGAAAATAGCTTGTCTTCATTCTTGAATCACTGTTTACAGGATTCTTTGAACGTTCACCTTGAACATTGACAATATTATCCCAGTGTCTTCTAACATCTATTACTGAGGACAAGTTGGCCAGCCTATGGAGCTTTCTGCTTTTGGTCCTTAGTAGCTTTTATGGTGACCTTCCTGATCATTGATGTTCTGGGTTTCACTCAGATTTTGCTGGTTGTGAACTTGTTTTTATTTATTACAAACTGGTTGAGCTTCATTCAGTTTGAGGACTCATGCAAACCGAGCTTTATTCAATTTGAGGTCTCATGTAAATTGAGATTTATTCAATCTTGTTAAATGTCAGTAATTTATATAAAATAATGTCTCTTCCCCTGGCTCTCCAATTTATCAGCTGGAACTCTTTTCAGGCATATGTTTGAGCTTTTTATTCTATCCTTTCCATCTTGTATTTTCAGCAAAGCAAAAATTTCCTCAGCATCTTTCAATTAATATATTCCTTTTCTTCTATAATGAATCCACCATTTAAAAAGTTGAGTTATTATTTCAATAATTACATGTTAATTTCTAGACTCTATGTTATCAGTTTCCTATTCACTTTTCAAAATGGCTTGTTATTATTATAAGAATTCCATTCCATCTTTATTTTCTAAATCTTTTTGAACATTAAAAAAACAATTTCATGTCCTTTACTGTCTTCTTATCTCTAATTTCTTCAGGTGTGCATACTCCTTTTAATTTTGGCAAGTTAACATCACTTACAGAAAGCATTTTTTCATATCCATTTTAATTTTAACCTGTGAGCTTATTCTGCTCAGGAGTTTCACATAAGGGTTGTTGCATATCCTCACTGTGCAATTTTGTGGTTGGATTTTCTTGGGATCTCTGAGGTTAACCGTCAAATATTACAATTAACCTTAATAAAATTATGCATAGTTTTCTATTAGATTTTAAAAGCCTTTATGTTTTTTCCTCATTTTTCTTTACCTTTCTATAGAAAATAATTTAGCTAATGCTCTATTGCCAGGTTTATGGAAAATTATGCCTTCATTGGCAGAATCACCAGGTTTGCATGAAATTTCCCACAAATACTATGTAACTCTAGACAAAACTACTTGCCAAGAACTAGGAAATCTAATTTTTTTTTTTGGAAATCTAATTTTTAATTTACATTGAACAAAATAGATCTACCTGTTGTTAATAACATTTGAAACCTATGGGACCTACTCATCCCAATCCTCTGAATGATTCACAAATATACTATACATTTTAAAATAATGTGTCTCATTCCAATGTTAACTTATATTCTGGAAGAAGAAGACAATAAAATATTGATTCACTTTAACCTCAGTTAACCTCCATAATGTAGCAAGGATTTTACAAATACTACCATATTTCATTATCACAAACATCCTCATCCCCATGGTAGAAATGCAAGAAACCAGGCTAGAAGAGACTAGTGATCATATAGCCAGCAGATGGAATCACTGGGATTCACAGGGCCATTCACCCCGGGGGTGGTCTATTTTACTAGACCACTGTTGTTGTAAAATATCTTACAGAAAACATTCCTCATGTTCAGTTTACAGTCGTTGTTTGGTCTTCAGTGAACAGCCAGGTCTGTAAGTCAACAGGAACCATATTAGAAAGGTCGTGTAATCCTAACTTGGGCAGAAGCTTCAACATGCTCAACACCTGGAGAAAATCTTACCCACTTTCTCTGTCTGTTTTCCCTCCTTTCTGGTCTCCAGGATTATCCTGAAGACAATCATTTGTAGATATTCTCTTCTTGGCTTTGGTATGCACTCTTGCCTGGCCCAGGGCTGCCCCATGGCTCCCTGAGACCCACGTACCAGGGTTTTTCTGAGCTTTACTATGGTCATATGTAACTCTGACCTGGACCCAGTCCCTGAAGTACCTAATTTTCCACTGCTTAGTTTATTTCTGAGTCTTTATCTCTGAAATGAATACAATTAATTTCTCATTTTAAATTCAGTTCTCAAATATAAAACACATCATAGTGCCGCCAAAAATCTTGAATTACTACTTCTAAGATATGAAAGACTAACTGAAAATCCAGAGAATTCTAGAATTCATATACAGAAATAACAGAAAGGGACATTTGAGAAGAAGAAATGATGATAGAAATAGAAAAGGGAAATGCAAGGGGAGGAAAGAAATTTGGAAGCTCTGACTACCTGTGCTACATCAGGGCCATGACCAAACACAACTTTTAGTTAAGATGTTTGCCTGTGGTTGTCTCAAATGTACTCACTGTAGATTAATTGGGAAGGATGACTCTAAACCAGTGGATATGTGAAATAAGTTTTTAAAACATGTATTAGCAATCAGTGGACTATATACATCTTTGATCTATCAATCTATCAACTTTCAGATCTAATAAAAATCCAAGGCTAAATATAATTGTAATATTAAATTGATTATTCTTCATGTATATTGTTCTTACTTGTTTTATCATGGAAAATTAAGTTAACACACAAATTTTTCCCCAAGCCATGCATCATCTGTATTTTGGGATCCTTCAGATATAAAAATCAACAAGAAATGGTTTCTGAAGAAAATATATTTTATGATGATTTATTTCAAAAGTTTTATACTGGTTCACTTATTCTTACTTTACTTTAGCAATCTTTATTATGTTTTACAAATATTTGTTGAGAGCCTATTATGTGCAGGTACACAATGGCATTTTAAGTGAGTGGTTTATGGAAATTTTTGATCCTGTGTCTATTTAACTATAAAGTGTTAATAACTTACCTTGACAAAGTTGTAAAAAAAAAAATTAACCTGCATATAGGCTGTGTCAAGACATGGCGAAAATGGGATTGGAGAAAATAGTGAGTGGTAAGATAATTCAAAGTAAAGGACTTAAATGATGTATTAAATGGAGGCAAAAATAGTTTACTTAAATTTTCTTTATGGTTGCCTTAATCTTTCAATTCATTTTGCATCCACTGGCACAAGCTTTCTGTTAGTGTAAGCTTGAGTGATTTATGATGTTATATTCATAATATCTAATATGAAAGATAATAGGCTGAAACTTTCAATCAGCTAGAATTGGACTTCAAATGCAATATATTACAGTTTATACATACCTTATATTACTACTTCCAATTTCTCAGAATATTCAGCTGCTATTAAATATTAAGATACTTGGAGTTCTTAGAAAAGTGTATGCAAGGATTTTTCTAATGCATTTAAAAGAAGTAATGATACTATGGAGTATTTTTCACTGAGTTAATAAGCAACATTAACAAAATTATATGCTTAGAAAGCAGTTATGTTAATTGTCTAAGACATATTCAATCATTTATCCTATATTAAATGGAATCAACAATATCACAGAAGAAATATCCAAGTAAGTTTCATCTAGGAGTTGAAACAAATAAAACTGTTATCACCTAGGTCAAAGAGGGTTGAATATCTGTCAGTTTCATGTAAGTTAACCTAACATAATTATAAGCCTCATTTTGCAGACTTTCACACCCTGGTTTTGTGAGTACTGTATTTGCATAATAACAGAGTGGTGATTATTTTACTTCACTTTACAATCTCTCAGAATAGGAGCAAAAATGAATCTGCTAGAAAATCCCTATGGTTTATACTCTATTACAAATACAGTTCTAAAAAGACCAAGCTTATGATTGTGACTTGTATTTTTAAAGACAGAATCATAAAATTTCCATACAGTTGTTTGAAAGAGAACAGTGGTTTCTTCACCTCTTGGCCTATGATATTTCAGTAATAACAATATATTTTTCAACCTGCTATCAATTATTAACAATCTCACCAGGCATACAATCCTTCTATCAACTTTTTAACCCATCAAGTAGATAAGCCAGATATGAGGACTAAACTATAATGTTTAAATCAATGAGATAAGAAGTCCTTGTGCAAGTTGATATAAGTTCTTTCACAAAAGATTTATTATTTGCCATGTATACATTAAGAAAGTAAAATTAGCATGGGATGGTCTCAGGAAAGCAATACATATTTTTGGATTAGATGCTGAAATAAAGTAAATGTATGGTAAATTGACAATTCACACTGCCAATGTTATGAAAAAATGATGCGGCAAAAGAAATTAAGATGTATTTCTCATTTTTGATAAGGGCACTCTTTCCTGTGATCTATTAATGGATTACATTTTTAATCTGAAAAACTAACCACTAGAGTTAGAGAAGCCCAAAGTTAGGGGAAACTACCCACTTTCAGAATGTAGATTAGAACTTTGAAATTGCACCCAGATTGGTTTTTTTCTTTTGGTTAGTAGGCCTCTGTGATTATAGTAGTAGTTGCAAACACATATAGGTTTGCCAGTAACAACTCACAATTTGTGCAAAGTTGAGTCTTCGAAACTGAGCAAATTTGCTCTCAATTTCCCGCCAGCGCTTGCTGAGCTGGATCTGAGTTGGTGCCACTGCCATTGCTGCCCCATCCTCAGACAAGCCCTCAGCTTGCCTATGCACTGCATTCAGCTCCTCTTTCTTCTTCTGCAACTCACGATCAATTTCCTATTGAGCAAAACCAATACAGGGCCCAGGGCAGTTAGCTAACCACATGAATCAACCTATCCCAGCACATACCTGTCCCAGAAATTTCACAGGCTGTCGTCATTTTATTTTCACTTTGCATAATTTACAAGTATGGAAGGCAACACTGTCATCTTCACCCAAGGATCCACATATTATTTCAGTTATTCTTTGAATGCTCAGTTTTGGATACTCTAATTGAGAAAATATTGAAATTGATCTAACAGATTTCTTTCTTGTCAATTCCTCTAGTGTTTTGGGGGTTGACCCAAATTGAAGTGATTACTCATTATTAATAGGGACCATCCAGATAGAATATAATTTAGTGGCTAAGTGAATAAGTAATTTATTTCCTTTTTAAAGTTTTGAGGAACTCAACAGAGAATGAAGCAAAATAAAAAGTGTAAAATAACAGAAAAAACATCTTCAGACAATATGCAACAGATAAATCTATAGAGATTTGACACTGATGTGAGAAGATGCTCTGATGAAATGAATGTGCTAACATGAGATAGAAGTCGTCCATATACCGATAAGTCATTTGTTTATCTGGAACAAAGATACACAGAGTCAATTACAATTTTACCAGAAAACATATAACATTTCTTAATTCATTTCACAATGTCTAAGAATAAAACGTTTTATTCATTCAACATTATGTCAATTGAAAAACAATACAATACATTTACTAAAACAAAACAAAATACAGAGAAACAGCTCAAATTGGGGAGAACACTAATAGAAGAAACAGCAACATCAACATTTAAAACATGATCCATACAGGTTAAGTTCAATAAATTAAAATGTAGCAACAAATCTGAGATTGACATTCTAAAACAACATTACCTTTATTTTCCTTTCATCTCTGGGTTCAGGTAGGCTGGCTAATTTTTTTTCAATGTCATCCAAGCATTTCAGGAGATCATCAGCCTGCCTCTTGTACTGATACCACTGGTGAGAAATTTCTAGAGCCTTTTTTCTTCTTTGAGACCTCAAATCCTGTTCATGGTGCAGATATTATTAAAATATCAATATATAAGCATATTATACTTCTGGTTGTAGTCATTTAAAAATAATTTGGTTCCCTCACCTTCTTGTTCAGGTTCAGTTAAATTCACATTTAAAAGTTACCCATACAAGTAGATTATTAAATTTTGTATTCACGAGACAGGACCCATGTACATGAAGCTAAGAAAACTGAACAATCCACTTTCAGTATTTTTTCTTAGTATGGTCAAACTTGTTTAGAAATCTTTTCATATTTAATTAACTCTTAATGAGTCAAATAAATTACAGTGTAGAGTTTGTGAAATTGTTCAATATGTGAACTCAATTGAGGTAACTACTTACTTGTACAAACTTATTGAGTTTGCATTTGAATTTTAAAATAGGTAAAAATTCTAAAATTTCTATCTTCAGTACTAGGTTCAAAATTTTAAGTTTATATAGCCAAGCAATTTACATTCATAATTTTAGAAATGTCTGCAAAGAAATTTCATAGGACATGAATATTTTGTGATTATAAACATAAAGTATTCTTAGTTATCACAGAAATTGCTTTAAACTATATATGTTCAAGTGTGAAAAGTGTATGCCTGCGAGTATGCATGAAAATGACAATTTAAATATCATAAAAATTATTTTCCTTTTAAGACTTGCATGGCAAACTTTCTCATTGGCATCAAATCGAAATGCAAAATGATAAAATTTAGAAAAGGAAAAGTGCACGGTTTTCAATCAACCTGATGAGATAAATAAGGGTGACTACTTTAATGAATCACAAAAGGGGAAAATTAATCATCTTACTCCTTACAAGACCATCCAATGTTTTCCCTGATCAACAGAATTTGTTGTAATGCTATTTTATGAGGGAATATATTTTACATGTTTTATAAGGGAACATAAGAGCTCAGGATACAGTTTCCATTTCTTCAGAGTAGTAGCAATTAGGGTTTCATGTATAGATATAGCTAGAGCAAAAGAAAAGAGTGAATATCAAAGAACTGCTGAAATATTCATTGCATTGGAAAGTTTCACCTTCTTTGAAGTATTTCATAAGGACTAGACTTGAACACTTGGCAGATTAACAACTACTGAATTTAGTAGATTGGTGTGGCAAGTGTTGATTTTCATTAAATGCTTTTAACATATATCTGAGAAAAATGATCTTGATTTCATTCTGCATTTTGTTTAAAATTGGGGATGTAAAATTTTCTACAGTTTACATTTTCAGTTGAATTTCTAAACCTCCTGTGGAGGAAATAAATGCCTGGGATGAGCCAGATGGAATGCTGCTTTTTTCAAAGGTACCAAGATACAGCCACGTGAAAGAGAGTTGAGCCATGCCTTACTGGTGACGGAACTCATATCTTCACCAAGAGAAAGGGCTTGTGGTCACCAAATCTGAAATTCCTTTTATTTCCTAAGCACAGAGTGGTGTGTAATGTGTAAAGATATTAAGAGACATTATAGAGATTTCTTTACAGGTATGCCAGATAACCATTAAATACTGCTGTTTGGTAGGATACATATCATCATATGACCAGTGTAGATGTTTCTAAAAGCTTGGTCACAGTTGGAAGCATGTGAATTACACAGCTTTCTGATTTTCTGAGCACATTATGGCTTGCTCTTATGCTCCCTCAGGGAAGAGGCCTTTTCTATTTCTTATATTTATCAGCAGTTACCTTCAGAACACCTGCTGGCCAATTAGACTTTCCTTGTGGATTCCTTACAGGCACAATATTGTGTAATTACATTCTCAGCAGTGTTTATTTGGTTGTCTGACTATATGGGAAAAGGTTTTTTACTCTTATTTGCATATAGAAAGCAGAGTCTATTCACCTACAAGGTGGATCCACCTACATGGCTATACAGCGCTAAAAGAGTGATTTACAATGAAAAGCTCAGCAATTAACAGTATTAGAAAATCAGCCATGCATGCAAATAGTGAATATTGAAAAGCACATTAAAAAATAAAAGGTTATTTCACAGAATCTTTCACATGTCCTGTGTCTTCTCAATAACTTTCTAGATACTATTATATAAACACCAATATTCTATTGTCTTTCCTGTGCAATTCCAGATGAGATACATGGGTACTTGAAGCTCTATACTAATGCTGGTTAAAATGAGAGCACCGGTTCTTTCTCATGGACATTAAGATTATTTTAGAGGACTGCTAAATAAATGAAATTAGACTTCTAAATGTTTAGTTAGTTGCAAAGAGTAACTCTCTTAAATGCAAAATGAAGTTAACTGAAAAAAAAATGAACTATTAAACAAACATTAGGTTACCTCAAAAAGTGAACCTACTCTGAATTAAATCAAGAAAATATCAAGAGCAGAAAGTCTCAAAAATATACAGATTGGTTATGCTGACAGTTAAACAGGTTTTTCAAGACACATGTCAAAATAACTTACAAAATAGATCATATTACAAAATTAAATATATGAACACTATGAATGATGCATTTAATATCTTTTGATTACTACTCAGAAAAATGTGTATAAGTAAATACCTTGAAATTTTTAAGCAACACATCTTTCAAAATCAAAGACAGCAATCAAAATTGTTAAAGCACAGACACTGAATGGAAAAAAAATATGTATTTCTGGTGACTAAGATTCTTAAGCAAATTTGATTTATGAACAATAGATTTTACCCTGTACATGAAAAAAACACAGGCAAGGTATATTATAATTTTAGCTCTAATACCTTGAGAGCATTATGTTTTGTCTGTAACAGCTGCTGTTTTATCTTTATTTCCTCTCGCTTTCTCTCATCTGTGATTCTTTGTTGTAAGTTGTCTCCTCTTTGCAACAATTCTTTTACAGTACCCTCATTGTCTTCACTCTGATTAAAAACAACAAGTACAGTCTTCATTTTGGTTTAAAAAAAGCTGTACATCTTTAACAGAGATAATAAAACATGTTATTAAAACACACACAAAAAATCCAATTTAAAACTTTCAGGGAATGCTATCCTAAGATACTGCACTCAGAGTTTCTTTTTTAATATGCTATACTTTAACTTTTAAAAGAAATTTCCTCCTGTCTATTTCAAAAGGACACATGTGATTAGAGTTGTATGTAGAAAGATAGGGGAGCAATTTACTACATCATTTCAGACAAGTGAATTGTTATGAAAGCATTCTTTGGGCTTTGATTTTTAGTGCATTTCTAGAAATTAAAAAAAAAATTTGGAGAAAAAAACAAAACTTGTTATATATAATGTTAACTATTTCACAGAGGAATATAGATGTGGCTCTGTGAATGTGAGACCATAAAATTTAAAATTTTAACACACATTCCTTAGTGAAAATACATTGTTTTAAGTGTACACTAATTTCTATACAATAAGTTCTGTTTTACATAAACTAGCTTCCCTGATGGCTCAGATGGTAAAGCATCTGCCTACAATGCGGGAGACCTGGGTTCGATCCCTGAGTCGGGAAGATCCCCTGGAGAAGGAAATGGCAACCCACTCCAGTACTCTTGCCTGGAAAATCCCATGGATGTAGGAGCCTGGTAGGCTACAGTCCGTGGGGTCGCAAAGAGTTGGACACGACTGAGCAACTTTTCTTTCTTTTCTTTTACATAAACTAAATGACCAAATCTAGAACAAATATTAGAGCTTTAGGAAAAAAAGTTCTCAACTGCTGTCAAATATTGCAGATAATTTCTAAAAATAAGTCACATATGCATGTTATTTTAAATAAATACAATTAAGTAAATATTAAATATGGATTAGAAAAATGACTCAAATATTTTAACATGTAGTTTGCTCTTTAGGCTCTAAGAAAATTATTTTTATTTTATTTATTTTGAAATAAAATTATTTTAACAGTGTTTGTCCAATAGAGTAGCATATGTAACCATTGGATGTTTCACTTCTATTTCCCATCTTTCTTTCAATGCATAAATACTTTCTATCAAGGAGGTTTGCTTTTTAATAGTACCCAAGGTACTCTGATGAATTAAAAGAAGCAGACAATTTTTAAATGTGACATGTTTGTGTTTATAATCATCCATGGTGTTCCATGTTGCATACTTAAATCTCTAATGCATATGTCAACTTCTACACACAACTGAGAAACTATTCAATTTTTTAAAAGAAATGAGATTTTCATCAGAGATGTGCCAGTTACTTGTTTAATGAAATAATGTAATAGACATTTATGTGTATAGTCTTTGAAAAACCTTCCTTTTAAGAATATGTCGTTAAAAATCTGAAGCATTTCCTGGGGCTGAGGACAAAAATAATGAACAAACAAAAACCCTACTGCACTACTTTCCCCACACCAGCTGAAAGCTAGAGGGCAGTGTTGGTGAACAGCCCAAGAGATAAGAAGCATTCTTTTCCACCTTGGTGCCCTCTGGTTTCTTCTTTGACATGAATAAGAGGTAGTTGTAACTCTGTATCTTAGAAAGGTTTGTCTGGTCTTTATTTCCATGAGCTGAGTTGGCAAGACCATCAAACCCGTACATAGGGAGTACTGAGTTAGGCAGCTCTAGGAGGTCAGAAATGATACCAACGAGAACTAAGACTGGTAAAAATGGTTCTCCTATTGCTTCATGTGCCTATTATTTACAACTTATGATTTATCTTCCCATATAATTTTCAAGCACAGTCTGGGAAGTCTAGCACTGCTACATGTCTGAGAAATCTCTAGCATGACATATGTAAAGGTTAATGATGCCATATAGGTGATGGTTGTGGAGACGGGAAAGGAAACTGTGACGAGGAGTAAGGAGAAAAAAATAAGTCAGTGAAAAGGAATGTGAGGCAGAAATAGTCAAGCCAGAGAGAAACGTAAAAGACATGTTGAAATTAATCAGGGTATAAGAAGAAAGCTATGAGTCTGGGGATAGCCCACATGGTTATATTTCTTTTTTCCCATGAAATAAGCAGCATGAATTTACACATATTTTAGATATATACTATACTACTTGTTAAACTTTTTTGTAAAACTACATTGTGTTAAGTTTTAATAAACAATGTTTATATCATGTATAATTGCCCCTTATCCAAAATAAATGTTACATTACCAAAAATAGGACTGAAGCAAAATATCAGCCATCTCTGATGGTTTTGCTATTTTTTTATTATTATGAAGTTTCTAATTTATTTTCTGATTTGACTTTTTTTCCATCTATTACATTTTGTCCTTTGAGTATGGATGAAAGTAACATTGCTGGGTGATTTATTAGAATCTGTAAGTACTCCTGTATGCCCATATCATAGTAATTTGGCATTCATAATAGTTCAATAACAATACTTTGCATTTGTAATAAATCATTAGAATCACAAAATGTACAAGGTATGCTCTAAGAATTTAGTTGGAGACTTGAATTATCTAATTTCCTTTGAAATATTTATTTATTCATTTCATTCCTAGTTCATTCACACTTTTATCACAACCAATTTACCATATCTTTATTGAAGTCTTCCTCTTTCAGATTCACCCCCTGCTGAATTTCAGCCTCCAGTGGTTCAAGCAATTTTTGTATATCTGAGTTAAACTGCTCCAATTCCTTCAAAGGAATGGAGGCCTAAAAAAAAAGATAGTGCTAATTTAAATCAAAATTACTTTTTATTAGAAATATAAGCCAAAAAATGCATTTGTTCAACCTCCTGTTGCTAAAATAATGACATGCATTATGTTTCCACATTATATTTTATGAAAGTGTTGAAATACAACTGGGAAAGTACCTGAGGATGCAAAGACAAACATTTAACATTATCAGAGCTGAACATACATGTAGTATAATGCAATTCATCATTCTGATTTTTCAGCAAAAGTCAATTTCCATATACTTGGCTGGTCTAATTGTTAATATCCTAAAGTTGAATTTGATCTTATTTTAAATATTCTGATATAAATATCATTTGGGTAAATATCTCATCAGAAATTGCCTCATTCATCTAATAACAGTAACAGCAGTTGGAAATGCAGAATTGTCTCCTTATCCTCAGAAAAAAATACATAGCAATCTGCTTAGATATTTTCAATGACATTTTTAACATGGCAGAATTGACAGGCATGCTCCCATAAGACAGTGTCATTAGCTTGTCTTAAGAATGCTTTATTTGGTAGCACACAGACACACACACACAAAAAAAAAATTGAAAAAAATGAACTCTTAATATCTCAAATGAAAAGTCTGAATATATGTTTTCCAAATTCATAAATATCACATTTCCTTTGATTTTGAAATTCATAATTACCATAGTCTCAAAAATCTTTTTAACCCCTTGTTTTTCTAAAGAAACCACTTGAAGAGGACTGATAAATGAAAATACAGTGAAAATCAAATATATATTCAAAAGAATAGGCAAAAATTAAAGTTCAGTTAATAATATAAATGTTTATTTTATTCATCTGGACTTCTGTATTCATTTGCATTAAAATACTAGAAAATATTTTATATGTGATAGCTTTGGAAAACTCACATGTGACAAAAAAAAAACCTTATTTTCTAAAAAAAAAAAAAAAAAAAAAAACCTTATTTTCTTTAGAGCTAAACATTTTCCACTTGAAAAAACAACTTAGGAATGACCCAGTATCTTATGCCAGTATGACATATTCATCAAGTTGGTCCCCCCTCCCTCTGCCACTCTTCCCTAACAGATTCCTAGGCTTAGTCTTCCTCTTTATTATACAGTATCTCTTAGAGGACAATATGGGAACGTGTTCAAGGAAAAAACAATATCTAAAGGTATTTAGTTACTAATGAAAAAGTGAACCACTGAATGCTATTCACAAGAAAAAATTCTCACAGGAAACATGAATAAACACTTATCTTCTAGGTACTTGTATACATGCCAGAGAGGATTTATGGAGTCTTTCTAAAGTGCCTTATTTTCAATACTAGTTTTTAAATCCTAATAAATATCTGAAATATAATAATATGTTTTAGAATCAGTACAGATTGGAAGTATTATAAATAGGCACTTGAATGGTGTTCCAATCTCTATTATTAACATACTTCTATACTTTAAAATCATATATTATATAATATATTGTAAAGATAAAGAATGATAGCCTTTAGTATAACTACACAGTGTTAATTTGATGGTGTCTATGTTATTCAGTTGTTGTTCACATTTCCTAAGATTTAATAAGAGTAACTGCATTGTTATACATATATATATATGATTTTGTGAATGTATGAAGATAAATGATACCTAAAATAACTTTTTAAGTACTTGCATATCAAAATAACATGGGTCCACTATCTATAATGGATAATCTGATTTAGTCTTACATGTGCTTCCTCTCTAGTTCATCCTTTCTCCATATATTCATATATAGTAGTTTCAAAGGCTCAGAACTTGGGCATTCATAACTATTGAGGGAACTCCTTCCCTAATAGTGCTATCTTCCAAAACTTAAATATAATTTTCATAATATCTGCCATTCATTTTTAGCTGTGACTTTACTTTTCAATTCTAATCTAGACTCTTCCATAGCCAGCTGATTACTCACTTGAAGTTCAACATGTCTAGAAATGAGCTTATTATCTTGCTCAGAGCTTCTCAGAACATTAACTTCCCTAGTTCTGTAAATATAAGTCATTTTTTTCAGTCATATAAGTCTAAAACATGAGTCATGCTATTTTCCAAAACATCACTCTATTGTCTAATAAATACCAAATACTGTCAATTCACTTACCATGAATCACTTGCTTTCTTTTCTGAGATACCACCTCTCCTACACAAGACCTATGGCAAAAACCTCGTTACAGATGTACAATGCTTCCCACCTCACCAGTTCTATACTGTGGGCTGTAATCAGGTCAATATGTTCCAAAACCACAGCTTTCATAATGTTATTGCCCTGCTCAAGAAGTACAAGTCAAATAAAGTCCAAACTCCAGCATGATAGTCAAGGCTCACCCTAATCTTGTCCCAAGGACCTTTCTAACCTTATTTAAATGTTCCATATACACTCTTTCTTACAGGTCTGTTGGTGAACTCCTAGTATTCCTCCCTCAAGGATTAGAATGCTTTTCACCTTCTGGTGAAGAGCCTAAAATTCCTGAAAGAGAATGGCTAGATTGGACTTGAGCTCCAACACTGAGCAACTGAAGGATCTGGGGCAAGTTATCTCCTCTTTGAGCCTCTGTGTCTTTATGTGTAACATGAGGATAAGAAGAAGAGCTACTCATAGAGCTTTTATGAGGATAAAATATGTTAAAATGTTGTTCGGTATATAGCAAAGGCTCAATAGATATTGGCTCTTACTGTTTCCCCTCAAATTTGCACCCATCCATTGGCTCGAGTCAATATCTTCCTCTTTTGAAAATGTCCAGTTTATGAAGGATAAAATAAACACTTGTTGACACAGCATTTTTATTTTAACAACTGATTTAACAAAATCATGGAATTCTAATGGTAAACATGGAAAAATTGACACTCCAGTTTGGTAAAGTCATATTATTCTTAACAACAAAACTTAATCAATCTGCACTGATATAGTGGGGTCAAGCAGGATGATAAAGGGCTGTCCACCAGTTCTGTCCTGTGCAGAATTTTCATCAGGAATTATATGGAGATCAACAAGTATGTAAAAAACACATGGTGAGAGGGATGAGCTCCAAAACATCCCATAAAGATGAGTAATTTGTCTGTCTTGTTTAACCTAGAGTCATTTCTGGTACATAGAAGGCACTCATAAGTGAAATTTTCCTGAAAAACTAAGTGAATGCGTGACTAATCATGGAATAGTGGAAGAACAGTTTGAAGGAGCTCTTGAATGACCTGGAATTTTAAGTAACACAATTTCCATTGTATAAAATTGAAGAGACTGGAGTAGCCAGCACCTCATGCATGGATGTATACTAATTGCTGGCCAAATGCTAGCAACAACATGACACCACTCAGTACAAAAATAATATTAGTAGATACAAATAGACACACTAGTAGTTAGTTATGAATTATTCAAGCAAGATAACGTAAGCTTAGATTTCATTAGTAGTATGTGTAGAGTCTAGATTTCCTGATCAAAGACTACCATGGATTTGTTTTTTAAGAAAACTATTATGTAGATTAGAGATTTTAATTATTCTGTGTGGTTCCAAAGTGAACAACTAGAATCAATTGGGAGAAATTACTTGGAGCCTGAATTGTAGTTTAATATAGAAACAACTAATTAGTGCTGCATTTTTTTTTTGTCTTTTTAAAGCATTCATTTTAAAGTAGTGAGTGTCTCACTGCTGAAAGTATATAAACAGAAGCAGGATAATGATGTGTAGCTTCCTTGGTGGCTCAGCTGGTAAAGAATCTGCCTGTAGTGTGGGAGACCTGGGTTCAATCCCTGGGTTGGGAAGATCCCCTGGAGAAGGGAATGGCTACCCACTCCAGTGTTAGATGTATTAGAGTATATGTTAGAAATAAGATACTTTTCACATGAATAATTCCCTAATATTTTACCTATTTACAGTAAATTCTCTCCTCTGAATTCAAAGATCTTTGTTTACTAGAGATATACAGCCATATAGAAATATTATGCAAGTCATATATTTAATTTTCAATGTTCTAGTTGCCATACTAAAAAGTGAAAAGCATCAGATGGATGTAGTATTTACCCAATATATCTAAAATACTATTCAACTTATAATCATTATACAATTATTAATAAGGTATTTTACTTTTATTTTTTCATATGAAGAATTGAAACCCACAGTGTATTTTACACTTACAGCACAACTTAATTGGAGTAGCCACATTTCAAATATTCAATAACCATATGTAGTCTGTGGCTACTTTTTTGATAGTAGCCACATTAGCCACAGTACAGATCAACAGCAACTATTATGACTATGACATCGAGAAGAACCAAAAGTTCATTATTAGTATGAAATATCTCACAGAAGTAATGTTTTATTAATAGGAGTTAAAATGCTGATGTTTTATTTAGCACATTTTAGTGGATTTAGATAATTTTTATAACGTCCATCTCATTTATCTGTATTTAGACATGTTTTATATGGGGATTTTCAGGAAGCCCTCTGGAGATAGGAACATTTATGTGAATGGGTTTGAGATGTTTTATTAGGAGTCTCTATTCCTCATGTGTGGGAGGGATTGGGGGCAGGAGGAGAAGGGGACGACAGAGGATGAGATGGCTGGATGGCATCACCGACTCGATAGACATGAGTTTGAGTAAACTCTGGGAGTTGGTGATGGACAGGGAGGCCTGGCATGCTGCAATTCATGGGGTCGCAAAGAGTCGGACACGACTGAGTGAATGAACTGAACTGATTCCTCATGTGTAATCTTAGATTGTGTTGCAGTATGTATTTACATACTAGAATGTAATAGTATTTAACATTCAAGGGTTTATATTTTGTCTCCCCAGTAGATTTTTAACTCCTAAAGTTGGGAATATATCTTATATCATTCTGTATTTTCCATAGCAAAAGGAACTCATTTTTTAAACATAAAATGTGCTTGCTTTATAAATTACTAATTTTAGAACATCCAATAGATCAAATTATTCAGTAAATAATTTTACAACCAAAATGACCATACCTACCCAACTCAGTTA